GAGTCTGATGGAGTGCCGTGCCCTGGCCCCACAGTCTACTTTTGGTACTCCCTCCCGACTTCCTCACTCTGTTCCCCTTGCGGATCTGTTGCACACCCATTAGTGTTGTTCTTCAGTGTGGTGGGGTCAGATCAGGCGCAATTTCCACACTGTCTCCAGTGTTGTCCACTGTAGGGCTATGGGTCAGTAGGGCTGGCCATATGGTCCTTTCTGTGCATTGGCTTCTCTCAATGCGAATATCGTCCTTAATGCGTGGTGGTGGGTCAGGATTTCTCTCTTCCTACCCCTTCATTTGCTCCCATGTGCTCTAATCAGACCTGTCCCTCTCCCTGAGCTGTAGCTTCAGTGCTGTCCTCTGAAGTAAATTCTTATGGGGGGAGGAGCACCTGTCCATGTAGTTGGGATTGGGGGATCAAAGTCTTAATAGCTAGATCTCACTCAAAAGGCAGAGAATGTGCATCAGAATTTCACGTTTTTGAACTTACTGAACCCATCGAGACTGGAGAAACTCCCTGCATACACAAAACCATCATTTTTCAACCTGTAATCAAAACTTCCTACTTGTCTTTAAAACAGACAACAGTTTGGGAAATAGAAAACAAAAACAGACAACTGTTTAGCTCAATTAATAGGTGTATCAAATTGCATTATATGGATATACCCAAATCAGACTCACTGCCGTTGCGCCCCTATAGAACTGGGTAGAACCAGCCCTGTGGATTTCCGAGACTGTAACTCTTCACAGCAGTAGAAAGCCTCACCTTTCTCCCTAGGAGCAACTGGTGGTTTTGAACTGCCAGCCTTACAGTTAGCAGCCCAACTCATATAAGTGCGTAATATATTTAGAATTCCTATATATTTGGTCATAAAGAATGTTTTTAAGATTTTGCTCTTACTAATAATTCTATATTAACATCATTATATGCACTCTATTATTATAGAAATATAAATAACACTTGTCAGTTCAACATCTTTTGCAACATTGTACACATTTTCTTATTTATTTTTATTTCTTATTTAAATCATTTTATTGGGGGCTCTTACAGGCCTTAAAAAAACCCATAAATCAATTGTCTCAAGCATATTTGTACATATGTTGCCATCATCATTTTCTAAACATTTACTTTTTATTTGAGCCCTTGGTATCAACTCCTCTTTTTCCCCTCCCATACTCCCCTCCCACTCTCATGACCCCTTGCTGAATTGTAAATCATTTTTGTTTTGTTTTATTTTCATTATTGTTTTCATATTTTACACCAACCGCTGTCTTCATTCACCCATGTTTCTGTTGCTAATCCCCCTGGGGGTTGGTGGTGGGATTATGCATCGATCATTGTGATCAGTTCTCCCTTTGTCTTCTCCTTCCCCCACCTTTCGCCTACCCTTCCTGTATTGCAGCTTGCATTTCTGTTCCTGAGGGGTTTATCTGATCTGAATTCTGTCTCTTGTGATCTCTTATCTGTACCAGTGTACATGATCTGATCTAGCCAGAACTGAAAGGCAGGGCTGGGGTCATGTTAGTGGCAGGTGAGGAAGCCTTAAAGAAACAGAGGAATATTGTGTGTTTCAACAGTGCTGTACTGGGCCCTGGTTGACTCCTTGTGACCCTTATGTGAGGAGATGACCTATTGTCTACAGATGGGTTTCGGGCCTTGTAGGGTGAAGGAGAGGGTCCCCCACAAATCATCACAGGTCCGGTAGGCGCAATTATTCAGCGATAATAAGTAAAGATTATAGTAAAGTCAGAGAGAGCATGAGAGGTAGAGGAGAGATTCAAGTTATGGAGTCAGACACAATTCATGGTAGCATTGCTCACCTCAGC